GGGATTACAGGCATAAGCCATCATGCCTGGCCTGCATTTTTAAATTTTAAGCTCACATTTGATATCAGAATCCTGAAGCCTAAATTAGGGGTTCCTTTCTCCATAGGGACTATGTTTGCTTCTGTCAAGAGCCTAGGACTATTAACAAGGGAGCACTTTAACATCCTTTCAGAGTCCTGACTTAACTTGGTAAACTTCAGTTACTCCACCTTGCTGGGGAGTCCAGCCTTGATCTCTAGATTCTGTGTTAATGTGCTTCCTCTCTCTCTCAATCTTCTTCTCTCTATATACACATACATATTATATATGTTCACATATCTTATATATATAATAGCATTATATGTATTATATTTATATGTTTTATGCCATTATTTATATACTACATAATGGCATTATATATATACACACATATATATATATATAAATGATGGGGATGCATACACACACACACACACACACACACACACACACACACAAGCAATCCTCCCTCCTCATGATTGAGGCTACAGGTGCGTGCTACTGTGCTGGGCTCCAGTTTCAATCTTTGAGAAGATCTGCTCAGCTCCAGCTAAACAACATTTTTTCCTGGTATGCTGCTGTTTAGTTGGGTCAGATGTGGCCAATGAGAATAGGGTCCAGGCCGGGTGTGGTGACTCATGCTTGTAATCCCAGCATTTTGGGAGGCTGAGGCGGGTGGATCACCTGAGGCTGGGAGTTGGAGACCAGCCTGGCTAACATGGAGAAACCCCACCTCTACTAAAAATACAAAATTAGCTGGGCATGGTGGCGTGTGCTTGTAATCCCCGCTACTTGGGAGGCTGAGGCAGGAGAACTGCTTGAACCCAGGAGGCGGAGGTTGCAGTGAGCTGAGATCATGCCATTGCATTCCAGCCTAGGCAATGAGAACAAAACTGTCTCAAAAAAAAAAGAAAAAGAAAAAGAATAGGGTCCAAATGCACACAGAATGTAATACCCAAATTAATTATCTACAGTTTCCTCAGCAAGGATTTGTAAGAAAAAAATAGAAGGGGGATAATTGGCATTGCAAATGAATGGCTTGGCTTGTTCTCTACAAGTGGTATATAAGTGTATCATTTAGAGTTCTTTCTGTGTAAGGAATAGAAAACTCAACTCAGACTGATTTAGGAAAAGTAATGTGTTGGGTTACATACTGAGAAGCCTAGAACAGCTGGCTTTAGGAGTAGCTGAAGCAGTCGTGCACAGTGGCTCATGCCTGTAATCCTGGCTTTTGGGAGGCTGAGGTGGGAGAATTGCTGGAGCCTGGGAAGTCGAGGTTGCAGGGAGCCGTGATTATGCCACTGCACTCCAGGCAGGACAACAAAGGGAGACCCTATCTCAAATAATAACAGCAACAACAAACCAAAAAACAAACAAAATGAATGAATGAACCATTTTCTCAACTGATATTGTCAAAAATCTCTCACTCTGTCTTACTTCTGCTTTCTTCTGTGACTTCATTTTCATCCCTTCTATTCCAAGCTTAAATCCTCCTAAGCTTAAATTGAAAAAAAAAAAAAAAAATTCAACTTAAATGAAAAATACAGAGACCCCTCCCCTTCTTTTTAGGATTATTCCTGAAAGGATGAAGCAGTGTAATGTTCAAGAGCATGAACTCAGGAACCAGACTGGCTCGCTTACTATTTTTGTAGCCTTTGATAGGTTAACTTTTGCAAGCCTTGGTTTCTTCATTTGTATCACAACAGTTCTTCAGGGGGTTGTTATGAGGATTAAAGGAGTTGATATTTGCAAGATGCTTTAAATAGCGGCTAGTACAAAAAAAAAAAAAAAAAAGGAGGGGGCACTAAATTATCAGGTTTTGATTAGGCTATAAGTTTACTCCAGTGTCCTAAGAGGGTCTGGTTAGAGTTGGGACTTCCTATCCAAACTACATGGATCTGGAGTAGTGGAAGGATGGTTTCTTTTTTTTTTTTTTTGATTGAGTTTTGCTCGTTGTCCAGGTAGAGTGCAATGGCGCAATCTCCACTCACTGCAACCTCTGCCTGCTGGGTTCAAGCAATTTTCCTGCCTCAGCCTCCTGAGCTGCTGGGATTACAGGTGCCTGCCACCACGCCCAGCTAATTTTTGTTATTTTTAGTAGAGACAGGGTTTCGACACGTTGGCCAGGCTGGTCTTGAACTTCTGACCTCAGGTGATCCACCTGCTTCAGCCTCTTGAAGTGTTGGGATTACAGGTGTGAGCCACCGTGCCTGGCCTCTTTTTTTTTTTAGACGGAGTCTTGCTCTGTTGCCCAGGCTGGAGTGCAGTGGCACAATCTCCACTCACTGCACCCTCTGCCTCCCAGGTTGAAGCGATTCTCAGCCTCCCAAGTAGCTGGGACTACAGGCGCACATCACCACGCCCAGCTAATTTTTGTATTTTTAGTACAGACAGCATTTCACCATGTTGGTCAGGTCAGGCTGGTCTTGATCTCTTGACCTCGTGATCCGTCTGCCTCGGCCTCCCAAAGTGCTGGGATTACAGGCGTGAACCACCACCCCTGGCCAAGATGGTTTCTTTTAAAAAACCTGGAGGGTCATGACTAAAGGCAAGGGGAATGGATGCTGCATGAACATAAGCAACAAATTGTCTAAGGTAGGAAAGTTAGCAAATTGTTGCCTGAGAGCTCCCTTTATTACACAGTAAACACAAATTCATGTACAATGTTTCTAATAATAAAAAGGGACACAGAGTAATCTGAGAAGATTTCTGTCTATGCCTTTTGTTGTAAATAGGCACAAACTCTTGGGTGGGCATGGTGGCTCACACCTTTGATCCCAGCACTTTGGGAGGTCCAGGTAGGCAGATCACCTGAGGTCAGGAGTTGGAGATCAACCTGGCCAACATAGTGAAACCCCGTCTCTACTAAAAATACAAAAGTTAGCCAGGTGCGGTGACACATGCCTGTAATCCCAGCTACTGGGGAGGCTGAGGCACAAGAATCACTTGAACCCGGGAGGCAGAGATTGCAGTGAGCCAAGATCACGTCACTGCACTCCAGCATGGGAAACAGAGACACCTTCTCAAAAAAAAAAAAAAAAGAAAAAAAAGAAAAAAAAAAAAGAAAAAGAAAAATAAATGACACAAACTCCTTTTATTTACAAACTATAAATAGCATTATAGAGTAGCACTATAAAAACTATACATTTGAATAGCACTTTACTGAACAAAGTACAAACACACATAAGTTAATTTCGTCTCCCAAGTAACTGGGACTATAGTTAATTCGTCACCACGCCCGGCCAAAGGTATTATTAACCTTAGTTAATGGAAAGGAAACCTAGCAAGCAGAAATATAGACGGATGTAAATTTTGCAGATGGTAGTGATGAGTGCTACTTTCTCATTTGTGTTCCCACTAAATTTTGTGTTCTATTGGTACTCATCATATGTTAATAATTTCTTTTATTTTGAGATGGAGTCTTGCTGTCTTGCCCAGGCTGGAGTGCACGATCTCAGCTCACTGCAACCTCCGCCTCCCAGGTTCAAGGATTCTCCTGCCTCAGCCTCCTGAGTATCTGGGATTACAGGAGCGTGCCACCGGGCCGAGCTAATTTTTCTATTTTTAGTAGAGACGGGTTTCACCACGTTGGTCAGTCTGGTCTCGAACTCCTGATCTCATGATCTGCCTGCCTCAGCCTCCCAAAGTGCTGGGATTACAGGCGTGAGCCACTGCGCCAGGCCGTTAATCATTTCTTTTCTTTTTTCTTTTTTTTTTTGAGGCAGAGTCTTGCTGCCTTGCCCAGGCTGGAGTGCAGGATGCTATCTCGGCTAACTGCAACTTCTGCCTCCCGGGTTCAAGCGATTCTCCTGCCTCAGCCTCCCAAGTAGCTGGGATTACAGGGGCCTGCCACCACCTGCTTATATTTGTATTTTCAGTAGAGACAGGGTTTCGCCATGTTGGCCAGGCTGGCCTCGAACTCCTAACCTCAGGTGATCCACCCGCCTCAGCCTCCCAAAGTGCTGGGATTACAGGCGTGAGCCACCGCGCCTGGCCGGTAATCATTTCCTTCACTCAACAAATATTTATTGAGCGCTTGCTATGTACCGGGACCTGTTATTGCACAAAACCGGCAATCCATGCATTGCTTACATTCACATTCTAGTGGGGGTAGTGACGGACCATAAAATCAGTTAGAAAAATGTATGTTATGATAGATGGTTATGAGTACTTTAGAGTAAAATTAAGTAGGAGAGGCAGGCAGGAAGTGTGTAGGTATGTTTCAATTTTATATTAGGGTGGTCAGAGTTTGTCATCTATTTCACCTGGTTCACAGTTCCTGCAGGACAGGAACAAATGTCACTTCCATTTGCCTTCATACTTCCAGCACTTAGCACAGCACCAGGAACTCAGGGAGGCAATAACTTTATACTGAATACGTTTTATGCCTTCCTAGAAGCAAGCAGTTGAGAAAGGCGTATAACTAGATATTGCCTATAAGGTCCACAATTGGAATAACGTAATCATTTATGATTGATTTTATTCATTTTCATTAACTTAAGCTAAGTTCTTTCAGCACGTTTAGATTACAGAACGAAAGCTGCGTTAACTAGTATTACAGGACTTTTCACGTTTTTCCAAACATCTTCTAGCCACCTCCGGCCCTACAACTACCCATAAGCTTTTGCTTTTCAAAAAACCTCCACAGCCTTTGCCAATTATTTCTTGATCTCGAGTAGTTGTTATAACAACACTTGGGGTTTAACACTGAGGTTGCGTATAGGGCCCAGTTATCAGTTCCTCGAACCTCCAGTAATCACAAAGCAAGGTTCTACACCCCGAAAAACTACGAAAAGTGAGAAATCCTCTAACACTCCTCGCGCCGTGCCCACCCGGAATCCTGACCTCAAGATGGCGTCCCGTAGTCGTAAGATTCAGTCGGCTCCAATCAAACATGGCAGTGTGGGTCATAATTTACAGTTCGGGCCTTTCTAGTAGCTGCTAGACGCTGCTTCTCTATGGTTATTCGTCTCGGCTTGGTGAGTCAGAGTCAACAGGGGAGACGATCTATATACGTTCTTCTCTATGGTTCCGCGCTCCACGCCCCCGGCGCAGTGCACGCCGGGCAAGAGGAAGACCTCCAGCAGCTCCCCGCGCAGCGCGGCTGTATTTGCGGCCTGTGAGAGTAGGCGCTTCGGACCTGTGTCTCCCTGGCGAGCGGCGGGCAGAAATCTCGAACAAGTGGAGCACACTCGTAACCTGGATCCTAGAAGGCCGCGAAGGCAGTACCGTTTCTTCAGCGGCGGGTGAGTTTGTGTCCCTGAACGCGTGTGGAAACCGGGAGACCGGGTGCCTCAGCTGGTGGAGGAGGAAAAGCCGGGGTGGCTGCGAAAGCGCCAGGGTGGGGTAGAGATAAGGGGGGGGCGCGGAGGCGGGGGTGGGGGAGGGGTCGGCACGAGGCTTGGTTTCTCCTCTTCTCTAAGGCCTGGAAGACCTGTGGGCCCAGCTGGAGCCCGTGGAGGCCAGACCTATGACTTGAGCTTTCCGTCTTGCATTGTCGCCCGCTTTCCCTTTCCCTTCCACGTTCCGCCGCGCAGTGAATCGTCTCTGCCCCTCCTGGGCTCCACGTTAGACCCAAAACGATCGGTCTGCCCCTGGGGAGCCCTTCCCTGAGCCCCCTTGCTTACGGGAGCCCCACAGTAGGTTTTCGGGCCTGGGGCACTGGCCCCAGCAGTTGCCTTGATATTAGCCTCCACCCACCCTTTTTAGCGAGGTGCTGGCCACCAACGGATATCTTTCCCTTCCTCTTTGGCCATCTAGAGCCCGCCACCAAGCGAACTGGGCCCCACCCCCTTGGAATTGAGCTAATACCTACCTTTTTAGCACTCCTGGCTTGCTTAAGATGGTCATGAATTTTGCCATCCTGTCTCCTTTGAGCATTGGAGGGTGCAGTAAACTGTATATCGCCATTCATTCTAGGCGATTACTAAGCTCCACGTTAAAATGTTACTTTCTCATTTTTCTTTGGTCGTCAATCATGCTTTTAAATACAGTTTTCCGGAATAGACGTAGGACTATGAAGATTTTTCGGAAGTTATGTAATATGGATTTGTATTGCCATGGAAATGCCATTTTGATACTGAGCAGAGTGGAGCCAAGAGAAGGGAAGAGATTGGACCTCTGTTGCACCCTACTGCTGTATTAGTGTGAAGTATTGTGTATTAGGCCATGGGCAGTAATGTTTAAGCAATTTTTGTATTGTCTTTGGAGCTTTTAATTTTTTTAAAGGCCGTTTCCAAAAACGTTCAGAGGACTTTAAAGGGATTAAATTGGTCGTAAGTTATTCAGATTCACGTGAATCTTACACTATTCTAATTCATTTAACTTAAAGCCTTGGTTTTTCTTTTTGTTTTTTCTTTTTAAGCTTTGGTTTTTGTTCCTCTGTAAAATGAGTTGATAGTAATATCTATACGTTATTGGGGTTGGAGATTGAGAAAAACGTTATGTAAAATCCTTCGTGCAATATCCAGGTAACACATAGTAAGCATTTAAATCTATATTGACATAATTTATTATTTAAGAATTTTCAATAAAATGTAAGAGTCCAACCCTGATTCTTGAATTTTTGTTTGTTTGTTTGTTTGTTTTTTGAGAGGGAGTCTTGCTATGTTGCCCAGGCTGGAGTGCAGTGGCGCGATCTCGGCTCACTGCAACCTCCGCCTCGCGGGTTCAAGCGATTCTCCTGCCTCAGCCTCCTGAGTAACTGGGACTACAGGCGCGCGCCCCGACGCCTGGCTGATTTTTGTATTTTTAATAGAGACTGAGGTTTCACTATGTTGGCCAGGATGGTCTCGATTTCCTGACCTCGTGATCCGCCCGCCTTGGCCTTCCAAAGTGCTGGGATTACAGCCGCGAACCACCGTGCCTGGCCTTCTGAATGTATTTTTAAAGTAAAACTAGTCCATGTTAACATTGGCTAACTATTTCAGACCTAACAGGAATTTGGAATTTTCAAGTTATGTTTTTGTCCACAGACAAATTAGCAGTTTAGTTTTCTTATTTACACATGATTTAGTGAAAAATTAAATTATTTTATAGCTTTGGAAGCAAAGGAATCATATATGAATCTTAACATCTTGCTTTAGAGATTTCTTGATTGACTTTTCTTTTTTTGTTTTGTTTTGTTTTGTTTTGTTTTTTGAGACGGAGTCTCGCTCTGTCGCCCAGGCTGGAGTGCAGTGGCCGAATCTCTGCTCACTGCAAGCTCCGCCTCCCGGGTTCACGCCATTCTCCTGCCTCAGCCTCCCGAGTAGCTGGGACTATAGGCGCCCGCCACCGCACCCGGCTAGTTTTTTGTATTTTTTAGTAGAGACGGGGTTTCACCGTGTTAGCCAGGATGGTCTCGATCTCCAGACCTCGTGATCCGCCCACCTCGGCCTCCCAAAGTGCTGGGATTACAGGCTTGAGCCACCGCGCCCGGCCGACTTTTCAAACACTACCACTGCCGTTCACAAAAGGGATTTTTGATTCTTCTTAAATAGCTTTTCTACCTTTTTTTGAAATTTGAAAGTTGTTGAAACTCAAGGAAGAACAAAATTCCGCTACCCAGAATTATTGGTATTGGCTTTTAACTTTTTATATAGACATAATTTCAAATTTACAAAAAAAGTTGCAAGAATAGTACAAAAGAAATCTCAGATATCTTTCACCAGATTCCTCAAATGTTAACATTTTGCCAATTTGCTTTATCCTTCTCTTCTCTTCATAGGTTTCTTCTGAAATGTTTTGCTAGTAAGTTGCAGATGTGATGCCCCCTAACCCATAAATACTTAAGTGTATTTCCTAAAAATTAGGACTAGTCTTATGTAACAACAGTACAACAATCAAAATAAGGAAACTAACATTGATAAAATACCTAATCTACAGTTCTTAAATTTTGCCGATTTTTCTGAGTTGGTATACTTTTTTTTTTTTTTCTTGGAGACATCAAAGTTCTTGCCGTTGCCCAGGCTGGAGGGGCATGGCCCATCTCCACTCACTGCAAGCTCCCTCCCAGGTTCACGCCATTCTCCTGCCTCAGCCTCCACTCCCGTGTAGCTGGGACTACAGGCGCCCGCCACCATGCCCGGCTAATTTGTATTTTTACTAGAGACGGGGTTTCACCGTGTTAGCCAGGATGGTCTCGATCTCTTGACCTCGTGATCTGCCCGTCTCGGCTCTCCAAGATGCTGGGATTACAGCGGGAGCCACCGCGCCCGGCCACTTTTTTTTTTTTGGAGGTGGAGAGTCTCGCTCTGTCGCCCCAGGCTGGATGGATGGCGCGATCTCACCTCACTGTAACCTCTGCCTCCCGGGTTCAAGCAATTCTTTTGCCTCATCCTCCATAGAAGCTGGAATTATAGGCACCCGCCACCATGCCTGGCTAATTTTTGTATATTTAGTAGCGACGGGGTTTGACCATGTTGTCCAGGCTGGTCTTGGAACTTCTGACCTCATGTGATCTGTGTGCCTTGGCCTCCCAAATTTTTGGGATTACAAGTGTGAGCTCATCGCACTCGGCCAATATACTTTTTTTTAAAATGACAACTATGGGCCGGGCACGGTGGCTCAAGCCTGTAATCCCAGCACTTTGGGAGGCCGAGACGGGCGGATCACGAGATCAGGAAATCGAGACCATCCTGGCTAACACGGTGAAACCCCCGTCTCTACTAAAAAAAATACAAAAAAAACTAGCTGGGCGACGTGGCGGGCGCCTGTAGTCCCAGCTGCTCGGGAGGCCGAGGCAGGAGAATGGCGTAAACCCGGGAGGCGGAGCTTGCAGTGAGCTGAGATCCGGCCACTGCACTCCAGCCTGGGTAGCAGAGCGAGACTCCGTCTCCAAAAAAAAAAAAAAAAAGGCAACTATGTGACCTATATTGACAGAAAATTCACCTGTAAATGCACAATTCAGTGATTTTCGGTAAATGTACAAAGTTATGCATCCATTACCCCAAAAGGATTCCTCCTTCTGTTTTCAAGTCACCCTGTTCCACCCCAGTTTCAGACAAGCACTCATTTTTCTCTGTAGATAGTAGTAGATAGTGCTACTTTTTTGTTTGGTTTGGTTTTTGAGATGGGGTCTCTCTCACCCAGGTTGGAGTGCAGTGCTACGATCTCGGCTCACTGCAACTTCTGCATTTCAGGCTTAAGCAATCCTTCCACCCCAGCCTCCTGAGTAGCTGGGACCACAGGTGCATGCCACCATGCCTGGCTAGTGTTTTGTATTTTTGGCAGAGATGGGGTTTCACCATGTTGCCCAGGCTGGTCTGGAACTCAGGCTCAAAGGATCCACCTGCCTTGTCCTCCCAAAGTGCTAGGATTACAGGTATGAGCCACTGAGCCCAGCCTTGCTTTTGTTTTTAAAAAGATGGATTCTTCATGTATTGCTTAGGCTGGAGTGCAGTGGCTATTCACAGGCGTAATCCCACTACTGATCAGTTTGGGAGTTTTGCCCTTCTCTGTTGGCAACCTGGTGGTTCTCTCTCATCCCAGGAGGTCACCATGTTATTGCTGAATGAACTTAGCATGAACACCTCATCGGTAGTGTGCTGCAGCCCAGAACTCCAGGGCTCAGGCGATCCTCCTGCGTAGCTGTAACTATAAGCATGCACAGGAGTGTTGCTCTTTAATCATTGAAATTGTAAAACAACAAAGTGGCAAGGTCAGAAAAAGATCAGCTTTTTTGGAGATTTCAAAACAATTGAGTATTTTTATACTTCTGAAAAGCTTTGCTGTAAAAGTAGTTTTTCTGTTAAGCATTTCCCATTCTTCTTTGGGCATAAAACACTTTTTTTTTTTCCCTAGGAATAATTCCTGCAGACCTGACACATAACTGGAAGTAGATATTGAATGAATGAGTGAGTTGTATGTGAATATTCGCTGAGAGGAATCTCAGTTCATTCTTAGCATTTCAGAAATTTGGCACATAGTGTACTGATGGAGCTAGTCTAAAATATTCTATCCTGGGAGAAATAATTTTGTTTCTATCTGGGTAAGTCTACAATAGGGGAATGCTTATTAGCAGTATTTTACTATATTTTGGATACTTGCAGTATTCTTAAGAGTGCAGAAAAAAGAATAGTCTGAAAGATTTAAAGAGAAAAAAGTGAAAAAAAGAAAAACTGAGTGCATGCATATGTTGAGTAATAGAGATAAGTCTTCAGGGTTTCTTTTTGGACCAAATTTCTTGAGATAAAATTTGCACACAATAAAATGCATCTGTTTTAATTTCAGTGAGTTTCAACAGATGCATATACCTGTGTGACCA